CTTGTCTGCTGGCCTGTCCCACGGCCAGGCGGGCCTTGCCCATGGTGGATTAGCAGCTCCTGTTTGCGGGGCTGGCGGGCGAAGAGAACAGCTACGTTCTCCGGACAAGTAATGAAAACGGCTGAAATGGACCAGCGGAGACCTGGCGCCTTGGACTGACGCAGCCCCGGCGGGCCCTGGCTGCAGCCGTGACCCCGCGTTTGAGCCGAGCAGATGCGGCCGGTCTCCCCTGGGGCTCCGACTCGACAAGGGGCCGGAGCAGCGGCAGACACTCGGCTTCTTGCCCGGCGCGCCCTGCCGTGGCACGGGATGAGGGGCTGCAGCAAGTCCGTGTGCGACCCCTGGCTGGGATGGGAGGGCAGGGGGTCCGGGGTCCTGGCTGCTGCACGTGGTACCTCACCAGGTGCGTCTTGCCTCCAGGTGGCTGAGGAGGAAGAGGTGGCCAAGAAACCAGAGAAGCTGAACTTTACAGTCAAGCTGGTGAGCCTAAAAGCGGAGGACAAGGTGAAGCTGATCAAGGAGGTGAAGAACCACAAGGAGGGGCTGAACCTCGTCCAGGTGAGGAGCAGGCTCTGCCCAACGCCCGCACGTCCTGTATCGCTGCTCGAGCCTATGGAAGCAGCGAGCTGGTCCGAGCAGGAACTGGAGCGGTGGGGCTGGGCGGGCGCCAGGTTGCATCCAGCCAGCCCTCCACCCCAGGCAGGATCAACCCTGTCCAAACCTCCCACTCAAGGGTTTTTTCACCTGCTTTTAAACGCTTGGAGGTGTGGGGATCCCACGGCCTCCCTGGGCAGCCTGCCCCAGTGCTGAGCCACCCTCAGTGAGCAAGCTCGTCCTGCCCTGCCACCCACATGTCTTGGCTGCAGCTCCTTGTCCTGTCGCCTGCGCCTACAGAGGGGTTTGTCCCCGTCCGCTCGCTAACCACACTCCAGGAATTTGAGGACTGTGATCAAATCCCTGCTCAGTGTCCTGTTCTCTGGATTAAGTAACTGTAGTTCTTTCAGCTCATTCTCCTCAGTCCTTCATCCTAGGCCTTGAAGCAGTGTGTTGCTCTGCACTGGACTCTTTCCAGTCTGCCCATGTCTCCTTGAATTGCGGGTCCTAAATCTGGGCCCAGGACACCAAGGGAGGCCTCACCAGCACTAAATAGAGCGTAAGAAGAACTTCCCCTGCATTTTTGGCTCATATTCGGCTAACAGTCCACTATAGCCCCCAGGTCCTTTCCTGTGCTCCTACAGACAAGGCAGTCGTTCTCCTGCCTGTGTTTGTGCACACAATTGTTCCATGTCAGGTGCAGGACTTTGTCATTGTCCTTATCGAATTTCATTCGATTGATTTTTGGGAAGTTTGTCCTGTTCATCAAGGTTGCTTTAAATCCTAACCCTGGTTTCCAGGGTGTCTGTATCTCCACCCAGATCAGTGTCATGGGCGGGTGCATTGGGTGTGCCCTCAGTCCCATCCTGAATCCCCTGGGAAGCTGCTTCCATAAGCACGTCTTGCAGCAAAATTCTTAGTTCTGCTTCAGAATGGCAGCCTGGATTCCCCGGCATCCTTGAGGCCGCAGTCTGTCCTCCACTCCCTTTTGCTGGGTGTACCTTTGTGCTGAGTGCCCGGTGCCTTGGAGCTGAGCAGTAGGCTTCTGCTGAGAGCACGCGGGTGCTTTGGCTGCTGCTTTCAGAACAGGCCGTGTGTTTCCCAGCTGGCTGTGGCTGCAGTCTCACACCCCTGACTTTTGAGCCCCACTTGGAGCCTAGGGAAGAAAGAGGGGAGAGCAAGCTTGGCTATAACCTTTGAGCCCCCCGTGCCTGTGGCTGTAGTAAATCGGGCAATGGTGACCTCCCAGTATCATGCCTAGCCACAGGGGCCAGAGCCAGGGTCTGGTAATTGTCATCTTGGTCCGCAGTCTTGCCACCTGCACTGACTCTTAGCAAAGGAGCTCCATTCTCCGGGGCTAGGGCCTAACTGCACCCTAAGGTGCCTTGCACATCTCTGGATTGGCTGGGAGTTCTCCTTGCACTTGGATTCACTTCAGGAATAGTTCACCTGTCACCAAGAGCTTCATTCATTTAAAGTTAATATTTAAGCAGTGAAGTCAGGGCAGTGCCCCTCCAATTCCCCAGCCTTATGTAGGCTACGGTTCTTTCCAGCTCCTCCTCCCCCCCACACCTGCAATAGGGCAGGGGCTGTCTGCATGTCCTTAGCAGACTGTTTGAACTGAGGCTTCTCATGCTCTCAGGAGCCCTGGGGGCTGGGGGGGAGAGGGACGGGGCCTTCTGTCCCGGATACCACCCTCCAGCACCTTGAGTAGCAAAGGTCAGGATCTGACGTGAGACGGGGTGATTGGCTCATTCGCAGCAATGCAGAAGAGGCAGAGGCACGCCTGCATTTCTGTTCCGTGTGGGGAATGCAGCGGGCTGGTGTTTCTACAGCTCAGGGTGACTAAATACATTCTGTTTCAGCAGAAACCAGGGAGGGTTTTAAACATCCTAAATTCTTCTTCACCGGTTGTTATTTTAACACGTGCCTGGGGGTGTGGAAAGGGGGAAAAGGAAGTTCTCCAGGCTGGCCATAGGGATCTTGGCACAATGGGGACATTTCAGAGGGCTAGGCAATAAAAACATCCTGTACTAGCATTTTGGAAGGATAAATCAGCAGCTAGCTACTGGCAGTCCTGGCCGGATGCCCAGGAAAGCTGATGTGTAGCAGAGTTCGTTAACATCTTTAAAACTTGCATAATTAATAGTGGTGGGCTTGGCTTTATGGCACATGCATCACAGCAACATCCAGTCTGACAACATTCAACTGCAGGTTTGGGTGGTAAAGGTGGCCGGTGGCAGGGTGAACTTCCCTGAGGCCTGGCTTAGTCCTGCCTGGCCGGTAAAGAATACCGGCCAGGCAGGACTAAGGACCAGTGGTTTTCAGCCTCCTTAGACTCGAGGCCCCCTCAGAAAATGTCAGCTCTTTGCTTTCACCCATTTCTTGACTGGGAAATATTATTATTCCATATTCTTCTGTTGCAAGAACCTCAGGCAGGTGGCGGCAGGGTAGTTTTGGGACAGCGGATTCCTCTGTGAAACCTCTGGGTTGATCTTGTGAGTCACGTCTAGGTGCTTACATTTCCAGCCATGCTAATACTGTGCAGACCCCTAAAAGGATCTCATGGAGCCCCAGGACAGCTCCCCAGTTGAGAATCATGGGCCTAGGCAAAGTCAGGCCAGGCTGTGCAAAAGGCACTTAAGCATTGGTCCCTGGGTATTGGCAGACAAGGAATCGTCTCTGGGGGGTTCTTGCGGGGTCCTACTTGCCTCTACTGGCCACTGGCCAGTGATCCAGAATTGCAGCCAGAGTTATTGTGGGCAGTCGGCTGAGGACAGACATGTCGGAGACATGGGCAGGTCAGCTCTGCCGGCCTGGCCCGTTTCCTCTCCCCTTTAGCAGCTGCTCCCACCGTGTGCACTGAGCTGCTCACTTCAGACCGATGCTCCAGCCAAGTCAATGGCAGTGGTTACAGCAGCTTGAAGCGTGCCCACCTTGCCACTGCGCCAGCTGGACAGGGGGTGCACCGTTACCCCCTTTCTGGGTAGGAGAGCACAGGCCTCCCATGGCCCCATCCTGCCTGGGGATGGACTGTTCCAGCTCTTCTGTTTGCACGCTGGGTCAGGCTACCGCTCTGCGTCTGCAGCCCTAGCCCTATGGCTCCGTCTGGAATTCAGCCCCTTGGAAAGCCTCTAGCCAGTGCTGTGTGGGGAGCAGCAACATTTGGAAAGCAGAGGGTATTTTGTATATGCATATGTGTGTCCAGTCTGCCACTACCTAATGTGGCCCTCCCAGAACAGCAGCTGGTGTCCACCTCGCTGCCCTTCCCTGGCCGCTGCAGGCTCCTGGGCTGGCCGAGCCCCTGGTGGGGCTGTGGCGGATGCCCACGGGGGGGGACAGTCCTCCACAGATGACACACTGCCTCCTCCGGAGCAAGGCCCTGCACGCTCGCTGGGGCGCACTGGCAGCACTCCCTGGGTCTGGGTCCCTGTGGGGGCGGTAAGAAAGCAGCTCCTGGCTCTGACCCACCCTCTGTCTCTCCGGCAGGCCAAGAAGCTGGTTGAGTCCCTTCCGCAGGAAATCAAAGCCAACGTCTCCAAGGCCGAGGCAGAGAAGATCAAAGCGGCACTGGAGGCAGTGGGAGGCACCGTGGTTCTGGAGTAGATGGGCATCCTTGTTGCAAGGGACTAGCACCAGGGGATTTCTTCCTGCACTCGCCTGACGCCTGCCCCCTGACCGCACCAGGGCCTGTACATTTCCGGGGGCAAGGACTGCCCCGTGGCTCGACAAGGGGTTGCTCTCAGGCCGGGCCTTCCTGAGATGGATGCGTGCAGCATGGGGAGGGAGCTGTCATCTGTATGAGCACCACCATGAACTCTGGTTTATAAAGTATAAATGGGGAAACTACCACTGGTGATCTGTTTCTGGCCAAGCTCCCTGCACCGTGGGCCAAGTGCTGCATATAGCCGCCCACAGCAGGAGCTGTGCAGTGCTCAGACCTGCCCCGGCCCCCTCAGCAGCCCAGGGAGGAGGGGGTTATGCATGCATCCTGTGAGGCTGGTGGGGGGGGGGTATGCGTGCACCAGCCCACGTGTTTCTTGCTGCTAAATGCCAGCACTCTCCTGGGCTGCAGTCAGTCCTTTTCCGCCTGCTTCCGCTCTGCTTTCCTGGCCCCAGCCCCAGGTCATCTTCGCTCGAGTGCAGCATGTCTGTGCAGGCTGGTGAATGCAGGTGGGGTGCCTTGGGCTGTGCTGGGCTCAGGATCATGGCAGGCTGGGCCCTGGTTAATGATTGGTGTCTGAAAGGCGGCAGCGGGGGGGCGGCGCCTGGCCCTCCCCTTGCAGGGTGACCTCTGTGTGTAGCGGGTCAGTGACTTGCCCAGGGGAGGAGCTGGCAGAGCCTGGCGGAGGGTGAGGGTTGGACTCTGCACAGGGCCCTGGGCCTCAGTGCTGGGGGGAGGGACTGAGGCTTTCCCTGTTGGGCTGTATGGGCAGAGGCTTGGTGCCCTCACCCCATTGCGCTAGCGGCCTGTTGTCAGCTTGTGGCTGGCTGCTGCCGCGCCACTGGCGCTGGTGCTGGGCACTTGCAGCCCCGTGGCAGGAGGGGTACTGGGCAGTGCAGCACAGCCAGGCGCAACACTCCTGGCAGCTGGTGGTGCCACCCGGCGCAGCGTCCGTGCTGGCGCCAGGCCACAGCTTTGTGTTGGCCGAGGGCTCGTTCTGAGCTGGGCTCTGGGCAAGCATGCGGGCACCCACAGCAACAACAGTCGCTGCTGGCAGCAGCCCACGGGGCAGGCGAGGCCCCAGCTTGAGCCGCTGGGCTCAGCACAGTGCGGGGGTGCAGGATTCCTGC